GAGTTCACCACCACACGACCACCCTTACAAGAAATTCTCAAAGGAGTACTGGGTTTGGTTCCTGAAAAATAACCACCACTGTCATAAAAACCCAAGAAAAATCTAAACCCACTAGTATAATAAAAATAGAATACATGAAGAGAAAACAAACAAACGAAAAGGCTATCTACATCCTAAAGAACCAACAAATACAGAAAACAAAGAGTAAATCAGAAAGCAAGGAACAAAAGTCTTTTTTTTTTCCTTTTTGTCTTTTTCACTGACCAGTAATGGGATCGCAACCCTCGGTGTCGCGCCCGTACCGGGGACCGGCAATGGGATCGCACCCCTCGGTGTTGTGTCCACACCGCGCTCAACCAGTGAGCGGGAACTGGTCACCACATGGGATCCAAGCCCTCAGCGGGAGCGCCGCCGCACTCCCAAGCGGCGCACTCTCCAGTGTGCCACCGGGCTGGCCCAACAAAAGTCATTTAAGACAACCAAACAACAATCAATAAGATGCTAGGAAAAAATCAACACTTTTCAATAACAACTCTTAATGTAAAAGGCTTAAATTCCCNGATCAATGGAATAGAATAGAGAATCCAGAAATCAACCCACCCACCTACAGCCATCTGATCTCTGAGAAAGGCACCAAGCCTATACATTGGGGAAGAGACTGCCTCTTTAGCAAATGGTGCTGGGAGAACTGGATATCAATATGCAGGAGAATTAAACTAGACCCATATCTTTCACCATACACTAAAGTCAACTCAATATTGATTAAAGAAATATACACCCTGAAACAATAAAACTTCTTAAGGAAAACATAGGAGAGACACTTCAGGAAATAGGACTGGACACAGACTTCATGAATACAACCCCAAAAGCATGGGCAACCAAAGGAAAAATAAACAAATGGGATTATATCAAACTAAAGAGCTTCTGCACAGCAAAAGAAACAATTAACAGAGTTAAAAGACAACCAAGAGAGTGGGAGGAAATATTTGCAAAATATACATGTGAGATTAACAGAGTTAAAAGACAACCAAGAGAGTGGGAGAAAATATTTGCAAAATATACTTCTGACAATGGATTAATATCCAGAATATACAAGGAACTCAAACAACTTTACAAGAAAAAAACAAGCAACCCACTTCAAAAGTGGGCAAAAGAGCTAAGCAGGCATTTCTCTAAGGAAGATATACAAATGACCAACAGACATATGAAAAAATGCTCAACATCACTCAGCATCCAGGAAATGCAAATCAAAACTACACTGAGATACCATCTCACCCCAGTTAGGATGGCTAAAATCCAAAAGACTCTGAACGGTAAATGCTGGCGAGGTTGCGGAGAAAAAGGAACTCTCATACATTGTTGGTGGGACTGCAAAATGGTGCAGCCTCTATCGAAAATGGTATGGAGGTTCCTCAAACAACTGCAG